CCGCTCCACCCGCCCCGCCGTCGGTTCCGCCCCGCAGGGCCCGCCCCGCGCCGTGGAGAAGAGCCCGCCTCAGGCGCGGGGCCAGGGCGGGGCCGCCGTTCCCTGGAAGTGGAACGGGACGTCCCCGCGTCCCCCAGCCCGCGCCGCTCGACGCACCTGGGCTCACCTGGCAGCCAGGCCCTAGGCAGAGGCGGGAAGCGCAGAGCTGCCTGCTGCCACGAGGCACACAGAGGACAGAGATGCGTCCAGGTCCCCAGCCCGGGTCTGGCCCTACCCCTGAGAACCACCACTGCAAGGTGGAGCCAGGGTGACTTCCACTCTCTGGGCCTCAGTGCCCCAGCCATGGAGGGGATGGGCCAAAAGTACCTGAAAAGACCCACCTTCCCCAGAGAAGTCGCCTGGGCGTGGGCACAGGGGAGGGGTCATCCTAGGTAGAGCCTGAGACATCTCCCCCACCCTGATGTGGCCCAACAGCAGGGCCCTGAGGCGCCTCCTGAGGGGCTCTAATGGTGGACACGTCGTGGCTGCGGCAGGGGAAGAGGCTTGGTCTTGGGTGACACGCACCTTCACCACCCCACCACCCCGCTGTTACTTCCCTGCTGCTTTCCACAGTGTCTTCCATTGGAGCCCCACTGCAGGTGGAGGGACACAGGGGCATAGAGGGGTGCCTGCCCCAGAGCTCAAGTGCACTCAAGTCAGGAGGGGGGTGGGCTCCAAAAGTAAAGGACTCTTTCCAGTGGAGTATATACAAGTCTTTATAAAAGAACCAAAATCTCAATAAATATGCAACTTTACACAGATCCCAACCCAAGCCTGGGGTGGCCAGTGGGACTGGGAGGGAGGGGGACGGGCGTGGGCGTGGGCGTGGCCCACGTGAGGCCAGCTGAAGGTGGAGGTGGGAAGGATAGCCTGGGAGCCCAGCCCAGAGGTTTAGAGCTAGTGACTTTAGGGACTAGGGCACAAGGGACTGCCTGGACAGGTGTATGGGGCGTGGGGGAGGGTACTGTAGCCTGGGCCTGGGTTCCTTCACTCCATCCAGTCTGGCAAAGTGCAAATTGGGCCGGGGGCCGTAGGCAGGAGTCCTGCAGGCACTCCAGCTCATGCACACACAAGGCAGCAGCTGAAGCAGGTGCTGGCACACCCCAGGAGGCATGCTGTCTGCTTGTCCCTTGGTCAACGGCACCCTTGGGGGCCTCCCTCTGCTCAGACCTCCCTGCAAGGGGATGAGGAAGAGACAGTCCTTCCTTGGCTGATGCCATTCAGAGTGGCTCTGGCCACCTTCTTCCCGTTACAATCCACAGGCCCCTTCACTGCTGCCTGCCATGGACCCCACGACCAGGCACTGGGATGGGCCTCAGGTCCCCTCTCCATTACCATCCCCAAATGCCCATGCTCCCAGTCATGACTGTGCCCCCAGTGCCAGCACACTGAGCCACCTGCCCTCTACCCAAGGTCAGGGCACTCACGAGGCAGTGAGCGTGGAGTTAAGTAGCAGGGTGGTCCTGATTCGGTAGAGCTGGGCCAGGGTCAGCTTCCTGTGCTGGGCAGAGATCCCTGGGGGGAGCTCAGGCTGGACCTTGGGCAAGGCACCTGAGGGCAGCTCTCTGCCACTCCTCCTGGCAGGGCCTGCAGGCTCCCCAGCCAAGTAGCTGCTTCTGTCCTCAGGCTCTGGGGGCTCAGGGCCACTGCTAGGGGTAGGTGCTCCCCGGCAATCCCAGCCAGGCCCAGCTTCCTGAGGGGAGCCCTGAGTCCTAGTGCCAGGGGCCACAGCAGCCAGGCAGAGCTCTGACATGCTGCGGCTGGGGGTCAGGGGAGCTCCATGGATGGCAGCCCCTGACAGCAGCTGGAGAAGGCTGGCCTCAGATTTGGACTTGAGGAGGTGGGGCAGGCGGGGTAGCAGCTGCACAGGGATTCGGCGGCGGAGGCGAGGGGAGGGTGGGGGTGAAGGGGCTTGTGGTAACTCTGGGGGCTGGGGCACTGGCTCCACCACAGGGGCTGGGGCCATGAAGTCTTGCAGGGAGGTTGGGGACAGGGTGCCATAGGCGGAGTCCACGGAGCAGGAGCGGCTGTCCACAGGGCCCAGGGGCAGCAGCTCACTGGTGGGTGTGACAGATGAACCAGTGGTGCCAAGAGAGGTCTCATCTGCCTGGGAGCTGAAGGGACCGCCGTCGAATTCGGGGGAGGACAGCGTCTCCCCAGGCTCCACCACTACCATGGCCAGGGTCTCTGTGGAGCCATCCGAGGCACTGTGGGGCCAGGAGGAGAGTCAGCCACAGAAAACCTAGATGCCCAGGAGCAGCCCCACTCTGGGCGATCACTGAGGTTTACAGCCTCTGCCCTCCAGGAGCTAGAGGCTCAGAGATGGCAGCGTGTGCCACACATGCCAGATCTTCCAACACCTGTGCCCACGGCAGACAGTAGGAGTGGATCACAGCACTCTTTCCTGCTGGAGCTGGATAAGGTCTAAGAATCCTCAGCACAGTGCTCCCAGCAGCCACCATGAATGGACTGGCCTTGGCACTCGAGTTGAAAACTGTTTGCCCTTCCCACCTGGACTCCTGCAAGACAGAGCCCCCTGACACCCCCCACAGGTTCACAACACGAGGCCATTCAGAGCAAGGGGATGTGGCCGGGCCCTGCCCAGTGTTAATGGTCTTGGGGTCAGTAGTCCTGGGCTGGGGACTTGTCCCACTGTGACTTGCTGGGTGGTCTTGAGCAAACATACCAGCGCTGGGAGTCGAGGCTGTTGCTGCTTTTGCGCAGGATGGTGGGGGAGCTGGCAGCAGAGGTGCTGCTCTCCTCGCCTTCCTCCTCTTCCTCCTCTTCTTCCTCTTCCTCTAGGCTCTGCAGGTGCAGCTGGCTGCCTGGGTGCTCCTGTGCGCGCAGCTGCTGCAGCTGGTTCTGCAGATGGGGTGGAGGTGTGCAGGGGGGAATGAGCTGTGAGCAGAGCCCCCATAGTCTGCCCTGCCCTCCCGCACACCACTCTGCTCTCACCTGGGCGTTGTAAATGGCCTCCACCCAGCCACGGCACAAGGCCTGGCCACTGGCCTGGAATGTGTAGGCCCCCACGGCACTGTGGAACTCGTTCAGGTAGATGAGGAGGAAGGAGCCTGGTAAGGGAAGGCCCGCGTCAGTGTCAGCCAAGGCCACAGCCCCTGACCAGGAACAGGGGGCCAGGCCTCCTCACCAGGGTCCCGCAGCTCCCGGCACACGATCTTGTCCACCAACAGCGGTGGCCTGATAACCTTGGTCCTCTCTGCCTTCTTCACTGCCTTGGTCACCAAGAGCAAATCCGTGAAGAGGAAGCAGTACACGTCCATCTGCGGGGAGGGGTCCATTCATGGGGGGCAGGAGAGGCCATCAGAGCCAGGGTCCTGGGGCTGCTGCGACACCCTCCCCTGGGAACTTGGTTTGCATCAACCATGTCTCCTGCACCCCTATGAACCTTCAAGTCAAACTGAAATGAAGGAGAAGGCGATTCTCTTTCGTTGAGATGTGCATTTATGACTTATCTCAATAAAAGTCAACGTTAAAAAGAAGTAAAGGGAGATGATTATTTTTTTTTCCTTTTTGTCTTTTTTACTGACCGGTAACGGGATCGCAACCCTCAGTGTCGCGCCCGTACCGGGGACCGGCAACGGGATCACAACCCTCGGTGTTGCGCCCGCACCGCGCTCAGCCAGTGAGTGGGAACTGGTCTCCACATGGGATCCGAACCCTCGGCGGGAGCGCTGCCGCACTCCCAAGCGGCGCACTCTCCAGTGCGCCACTGGGCCGGCCCGGAGATGATTTTAAAATCACGATTTACAGACTCTGGGCTACCCAGTGCCTGAAGGGTAAATAGCACAGTACCAAGGCTCTGGGTGGGTCCTGGACACTTGTAGAATGTGCCCTTCACTCCCACAGGGAACCCAGGGGCACTGACAGGTGGACCAGACTGGCACCTCCATAAGCCAAGACATTGCTGCTGTACTTGCAGAGTAAACTGAGGGCAGGTAATCAGCCCTCACTGTGACCACAAAGTCACTAGGTCTTGAGTGTCCACCCAACTGACGGGCCCAGGAGGTCCTCACCAAGGGTGGTACCAAACCACAGGGCAGGAGAGGGTGGGTCAGGGGCCCTAGGTGTGGGATGTCCCCTCGGTCACCTTGCTGTCCTTCCCTTCCTTCATTCTCAGGCTCCCCTCCAGCAGTAGCTGTCGTGTCTCCTCAGGGGAGGCGCCAGGGATAGGTGCTGTGAGGTCCAGGTGCAGAAATTCCTTCAGGAGCTGGGGACGGAGTGGGAGGTGAGGTCAGGGCCTGACCCCCAACTCAGCTTGGGGTCCTCAGCGAGGTTCCCAGGATGTCCCAGGCTGCCAGTTGGGCCACCCTCGCACCCGTGCGCCCACCTTGTCCACCTCGTCGGTGCTGCCCTCCACCGCCTCATAGGCGTCGACGCGGCTCACCACGGCCGCCAGCCGCTGGCGCTCCTGGCGCTGTCGCATGCACGTGTTCACGTGGTGGATGAAGCGCTCCACGGAGCTGATCTGCGGGCGGGCGGGCGACGGGGCTTCAGGCAGGGGGCGGGTCGGGAGGGGTCCACAGGCCTGCAGGGCCCCGGCCACCGCCCCGGTTACCATGGTGACGACGGCCTCCTTGGCGCGCGGCTCGTCCGTCTTCCGCAGCACCGACTTGAGCAGCAGCGGGTACTTGGTGAGCCGCTGGTGGGGCTTGGCCAGCATGTCGCTCAGCTTCAGCCGCTGGCACTGCTGGTGCTTCTCGGCCCACTGCGGCAGGGACACGGGGCTCACGGCAGGCCCCGCCCCGCCCCGTCCCCGCCCAGAACCCGCCCGGCCGCCCTCACCGTGACGTAGGCCCGGAACAGGTCGTTGTCGCGCAGCAGGCCGCGCATGTACTCCATGCAGCCCTCCTCCTCCATGCAGTATCGGATGTAGGGCCTGAAGAGGGAGCCGAACTGGCCCGGGCAGAACCACAGCGCGGTCACCGCGCGCTCCCGCACTTCCTACTGCACTTTCGCGACCGCCCCAGGGGACGACGAGCTTATGATTCCCGTCCCCAGATGAGGACACTGAGCCTCAGCTAAAGCGACCCCCGCGGCCAGGTGGCAAAGGTAGACAGATGGCCGGGGGGGTTTCCTCGCCTTGGCCACTAGGGTTCATGTGCGGCCACTGGGCGGGGTGAAGGCTGGAGGTGATGGGCACATGGCGTCCGGCCACGCAGACTTTTCGGCGCCCCAGCCCTGCCGCGGGGGCCCCGCCCGTACCATCTTGAAGCCTTTGAGGAAGTCCCCGGGCTGCAGCAGCGCCCGCGTGCGGCGTGCCCGCTCCAGCACCGGCGCCATCACGCTGGCCCACAGCTCGCGGTGCAGCCGCGCGATCTCCGGGATGTTGCTGAACAGGCGCTCCGCCTCCACCTGGGCGGGGCGGGAGGTGCGCTCG